TTGGCACAGTCAGGGGTCTCCTCAGGTTCTGATCTTCTCTCCCATTGCTGATGTTGGTTGCACACTGGAATATTTGCCTGCTGAGAGCAAAAAGGGACGTTGGAGGCTTTTTATTTGGTTATGCAAATGGGCCTGTGAATTGACTTACTGTGACCTGCACTGCTGGCAAGGTTCTTTGTCCATGGTCCATGGGCAGCTCCTCTCAGCTCTTCCTGCTGGATGCTGGGCTAGAAGGGCTCAGCTTTCAGCCTCAGTCCATGTGCTCAGAGTCCAGCTCCTTGCAGGGAGGCCCTGTCCCAGGAAATGTGCAAATCCAGGTTGGATGGGGCTTGGAGCACCCTGGTCTGGTGGGAGGTGTCCCTGCCCATGGGGGGTTGGGGTAGATGATCTTTAACCAACCCAAACCATTCCATTAATGGGTGGATGGCCCAAGGGGCCCAAAGGACTTTTGGATCTTCCTTTGTTGGAGGTTTTGAAAGGCTTGACTAGACAAAGGGCTGAGCAGCCTGGTCTGACCTCCTGGCTCCCCCTCCTTTGGGCAAGAGGTTGGACTAGAGGCCTCCCAAGATTCCTTCCAACCTGAATTATTTCATGATTCTGTGGTCAAGGTCTGTGATGTCCAGAGGGTTAGAAGAACATTATTTCATGGTCCCTTCTAAATGAAAAAATCATGGATCCAGGTGGCCCTTTTCTTACAAAGAGATGGAAGGAACTCCATGTTGGGTCAGGAATGAGAAACTGACTCTGGAGCAGCTTCTCCCATGTTTGGTTTTGTCTTTGGAGGGGCTGCTGGAGAGGATGGCACAGCTGAAAGCAGGTGCAGGGCCTGTGCTGCACAGTTCTCTTGTCTTTATTTGCAAGGTTCTGTTTTCCTGGAGCAGTTACAGTCCCTTGGGACCTGTTGGTGATTTCCAGCCAGTCGATGCACCAGTGAGAGCAAAGACCTTTGCATTTCCAGTCTGCTTCTCTGCAGTTGCTCTGCCCTGGGTTGTGGAAGAGTTTAAGGCCCCAGAGTCTTATTTTCAGGACAGTTTTGTAGTTTTCCAGCTTGGCCATCCCTTGGTGTTCACATGCTTCAATAGTAGAATGTCTTTGTGGTATATTCTAACTTAAAAGGCTTTTCCCCCCACGTCTCCCAACAAACTGTTAATTTACCAGTGTCCTTCCAGTCTTTGTCTTGAGCCTTTTTTTGCTGGTGGTGCCCTGACCTGGCAGAACTCCTGTGCTCCAGGGTCCTTCCCATGTTCTCCCCCCGTGCTCTTCAGGCTCCTGATGTGTCAGCAAACACTGAAAGCTCACTGCTCTTTTTTTTTTTTCTTCAAGCTTCTGTTTTGGATCTTTTACCAGTTCAGTTTCAACCCTGAAAGATCCAAGTGGTGTGGATTTGGTGACTTCTATTTGTTTCCCTTTTTGATATTCAGAAAACCTTGAAATTGTGCTTGTTTTATCTCAGCAGGGAGATCAGCACAGACCTAAATCTGCGACTTTCTTGGCAGCTGCACGGAACAAGGTTAATGTTGATCACATGAGGGACAATTCCCAGGCTCTGAGGAGGCGTTTGATTAAGTTTTCACTTTTAGTTCCAGTAACAATTAAAATTAATCTGTTCTCCTTTTCCAGTGTCTCAGGTGGGTCCCTGACTCTGTACATTTGGCTGCTGGGACCCAGGAGTTCACCAAACAGTGAGCTGGGAATTCTGTGTGTCACGGGAGGTGCAGGGTTTGCATCTCAGCAGCTCCTGATCACACCACGTTGCCTTGTTTTGCATCACGTTCTCTGCAGTCCTGAAGTGGAGGGAAGAACTTTGGGAAGAAACAAGGGAAAATCCAGACTCCTTGGTGTGTCTGTGCTGCAGCTCAGCCTCTCACTGGCACAGTCCTGCTGGGAGAGGTTTGTGATGAGGAGTCAGTGCCTGGTAACTAATAATTAACAGGAATTGGTGCCTGGCTTAGATTCTGCTTCATTTGCTTTTGGTTCTGGTTGGTTTTTTTTCAAGGATAAAATATTCTTGCCCAGGAATTCTGTAGTTCTGCATTTGTTTTCTGTGACCTCCACTGGTGGCTGGTTTGGATTTTTGTCACATCCAAATATTTTGTTCACTTAACTGAAGAAGTGGGGTGTCCTGATCCTGCTGTTTGCTGAAGGGGAATTTGTGCACACACCAGGTTGTGGTCTGTGGGCTTTGGGGGGGCTGCAGGTTTAGGTTACCTTTAATTTAAAAAAAAAGACAAAGCTGGGGGAGAAGAAATGATGTTATTTTAACTGATATAAAGAAGTAGCCTACAAAGTAAGGTCTTCTGGAACAAGAGAAGGCTCTAGGGAGACCTGAGAGCAGCTTCCAGGGCCTGAAGGGGCTCCAGGAAAGCTGGGGAGGGGCTTGGGACAAGGGCAGGGAGGGATGGGAGCAGGGGGAAGGGTTTCCAGCTGGCAGAGGGAGCTGGAGCTGAGATGGGAGGGAGAAATTCTGGGCTGTGAGGGTGGGGACAGCCTGGCCCAGGTTGCCCAGGGAAGCTGTGGCTGCCCCATCCCTGGGGGTGTTGAAGGGCAGGTTGGATGGGGCTTGGAGCAGCCTGGGCTGCTGGGAGGTGTCCCTGCCCATGCAGGGGTGGCACTGGGTGGTCTTCAAGGTCCCTCCAATCCAAACCATTTCATAATTAGATGATTATATTTAGTAGAAGTCTCCCTGAAGTGAGGTGAGTTGATGGGAAGGTTTGTGGGATTGTCAGGGCAGCCGAGTTCTGGGGCTTGCTCTGCAGCTGCCTTCACCAGCAGGTCTGTGTGTGTCTGGGCTCTGATCCTTTCAGCAGGGCAGCCATTCAGGGCCTGCTGGGCACTTTGTTCTGCTGGTGGACTCATGTTTGTGCCCCAGAAGTGCTGGTTTTGCCTTTGATGGCCCAGCTGAGAAAGGAGAACTTCCCTGTGGGCAAAACTGCAGCATCCACAGGACCAGCCTGCCCCACAGATAGTTGAGCTTCTGCATCTCTGCTGTGTCAATAAATGCTTGCAGTGTAAGTTTTAGCATGATTTTATTCCTCTTTAGGCTAAAACACTTTTTAAAATAAGTGTACAGGTGTATTTTGAGACAGCCTGAGTGTGGGAGCAGCAGGGTTTGAAGCCTGGGCCATGGATCTTCTGTGCCCTTGGTTGTTATCCAGCTTGTAGGCTCCAGCAGGTCAACACAATGTCTTGCTTGGAATTTCCTTGCATTCTAAAATTAGGAGGAGGATCTAGGAAACAATAGCAAATCAAGTCTGTAAACCTCCTGCTCTGGTTTGAACCTTTGTTGTCATTTAGACTTTCACCTACTTCCTTTCCTATTAAACTGATTTGCATTAGATCAGCTGCAGCAAAAAGAACGTGCTCTGCTCCTCACCAAGAGGACTTCTCTTCCACCTTTTTTCCTTACTCAACTGCTAAATAAGTCGAGTTTTGAGCCCCTCAGAGGTGCTCTAGCACCCAGCAGTGGTTCTGGATGGAGACATTTCCTTGGGAAACTGCAGGGGTTTTGATCTACAGAAGGGAAACTTCTCAAGTTAGATTCTCAGACCTCATCATAGGATGGTGAAGGTTGGAAGGGACCTTAAAAATCATCAGGTTCCAACCTCCCTGCCATGAGCAGGGACACCTCCCACCAGCCCAGGCTGCACAACCTGTCCTTGAACACCTCCAGGGATGGGGCAGCCACAACCCCCTGGGTAACCTATTCCAGGACCTTCCTACTTTCGTGGTGAAGAATTTCTTCCTGATGTCTGACCTGAATCTCTCCTCTTTCAGTTTAAAACCATCACCCCTTTTCCTATCACTGCCCCTGCTGGTGAAAAGCCCCTCCCCAGCTTTCCTGGAGCCCCTTCAGGCCCTGGAAGCTGCTCTCAGGTCTCCCTGGAGCCTTCTCTTCTCCAGGCTGAACACCCCAGCTCTCCCAGCCTGGCTCCAGAGCTGCTCCAGCCCTCCCAGCATCTCCAGGGCCTCCTCTGGCCTCTCCAACAGCTCCGTGTCCTCCCTGTGCTGGGGACCCCAGCCTGGCCCCAGCCCTGCAGGGGGCTCAGCAGAGGGACAATCCCCCCTGGCCCTGCTGGTCTCACTGCTGGGGATGCAGCCCAGGACACAGGGGGGTTTCTGGGCTCATTTTGAGCTCCTCTTCACCCAACATCCCCAGGCCCTTCTCCTCAGGGCTCCTCTCCATCCCTTCTCAGCCCAGCCTGGATTTGTGCCTGGGATTGTTCAGCCCCATGTGCAGAACCTTCACCTTGACCTTCTTGAACTTCATGCAGTTTGCTTGGGTCCACCTCTCCAGCCTGTCCAGGTCCCTCTGGGTGTCCCCCTCCCTTCCAATATATTGACCCCACCTCACAGCTTGGTGCCACCAGGAACTTGCTGAGGGTGCCCTTGACCCACCGTCCATGTCGCCAATAAATGTGAAGCAACTTGAATCTCCACTTGGCCGTTGAGCTGTTGAGCACAGCTCTGAGTGCCAACACCCAGCCAGTTCCTGATCCTCCGAGTGCTCCATCCCTCACGTCCATGTCTCTCTGATTTAGGGACCAGGATGCCACACTGAACAGTGTTAAATGCTTTCCACAAGTCCAGGTAGATGACATCAGTTGCTCTTCCCCTACCCACCAACTGTAACCCTGTTGTAGAAGGCCACCAAGTTTGTCAGGCAGGATTTGCCCCTAGTGAAGCCATGTTGGCTGTCACCAATGGCCTCCTTATTATCCATGTGCAGAGCCTTCAGGAGGCTCTGCTCCATGGTCCTGCTGGGCACCAGCACCTTCAGGAGGCTCTGCTCCATGGTCCTGCTGGGCACCAGCACCTTCAGGAGGCTCTGCTCCATGGTCCTGCTGGGCACCAGCACCTTCAGGAGGCTCTGCTCCATGGTCCTGCTGGGCACCAGCACCTTCAGAAGGCTCTGCTCCATGGTCCTGCTGGACACCAGCACCTTCAGAAGGCTCTGCTCCATGGTCCTGCTGGGCACCAGCACCTTCAGGAGGCTCTGCTCCATGGTCCTGCTGGGCACCAGCACCTTCAGGAGGCTCTGCTCCATGATCTTGCTGGGCACAGTGGTGAGACTGACTGGCTTGTTGTTCTCAGAGTCTTCCTTTTTCCCTTCTTGAAAGTTTGGGTATGTTTCTCCTTTTCCAGTCAGTGGGAACTTCACTGGATCACTACAACTCATCAGATATGATGGGCAGTGTCTTTGCAGCTTCTTCCACCAATTCCCTCAGGACCTGTGGACGCATCTCATCAGATCCCATGGATTTATGTACCTTCAGGTTCCTCAGATGGTTCTGGGTGAACTTCTTAGAAGTCTCATTTTCTGCCGTGGCCCAGCGTGGTTTGTTTGTGTTTCCCAGGCTCTGGAACGATCCAGGAAATGGAGCCAACACCACAGCCCTGCTTCCCATCCTGTCCCGTGTCCAACAATAGTCAGAGGCAGCTGCAAGATTTGCTCAGTTGATAATTATAGTTTGTTGTTTGCTGTGAACTTGCTGGGAGGCTGTTGATGTCTAGAAAGTGTGTGATGGATGGATCTTGTAGCCTTCCATTTGCAGCAGCTGTAATTGGTGTCTGAGAAGGGGAGGTGAGGACCTTGGGGTTGGCAGCCTAGGAGACCTCGAGAGACCCTTCCAGGCAGTATTTGTACAACTGTGGTGTTTCTAGAAGGGAATTTTCTTTCCTTCTCCTGTTCTTTTCATCAGAGAAGACAGTGATAGGACAAGGGGTGATGGTTTTAAACTGAGAGAGGGGAGATTTACGTTAGATATTAGGAAGAAATTCTGCCCTCTGAGGGTGGTGAGGAGCTGGGATGTGGTGTCCAGGGAGGCTGTTGATGCCCCATCCCTGGAGGTTTTTAAGGCCAGGTTGGATGGGGTTTTGTGCAACCTGGTCTAGTGGGAGCGTTCCCTGCTCATGGCAGGGGGTTGGAACTGGATGATCTTGGAGGTCCCTTCCAACCTTCATGATTCTGTGATTCTATGATTCTTTGTTCCTTGGGCTCCTCACGTTTAAACAAACAGGTTGTTTAAAGCCTGTTCCTTCTCTGGCACAAGTGGCACAAATGCTGCTGGAGGGACCTGTCCCTGCTGGCCTGACAGAAGGTGCAGATGTGTGTGACAGCAGAAACAGGACCATGCTCTGGGAGTTCCCTCATGCTCCTGCTTTGTTGGCTTCTCCAAATCAGACTCCTGAGCCCTGCAGTGTCTTAGGAACATCCATGGTGTATCTGCAAGGAAAGGGGAAGAGAAGGCTCCAGGGAGACCTGAGAGCAGCTTCCAGGGCCTGAAGGGGCTCCAGGAAAGCTGGGGAGGGGCTTGGGACAAGGGCAGGGAGGGATGGGAGCAGGGGGAAGGGTTTCCAGCTGGCAGAGGGAGCTGGAGCTGAGATGGGAGGGAGAAATTCTGGGCTGTGAGGGTGGGGAGAGCCTGGCCCAGGTTGCCCAGGGAAGCTGTGGCTGCCCCATCCCTGGGGGTGTTGAAGGGCAGGTTGGATGGGGCTTGGAGCAGCCTGGGCTGCTGGGAGGTGTCCCTGCCCATGCAGGGGTTGGATCTAGATGGGCTTTACATTTGGTGTTTCAGTGGTTCTAAGAGAAGTGAAGTTGTAGAGGTGTTAAATTCATCATCCAGCCGAGCTCATCGTCGCCTTTCTTCTTTCACCCTGATCTCCTGTAGATCTCAATTGCTGTTCTTACCTGTGCATCCCCTGCACCTGGAGGACCCCTCCAGGGCAGAGATCATGAGAAAAGGCAGCTGTATCCAGGGGTGGGCGCTCAGGTTTCCCCCAGAACTGCTGCTGACCCAGCTCTGCTCTCTCCTCTCCAGCCTTTCTTCCGGCTCCTGAACCTGCGCAAGTTGGGTCTGAGTGACAATGAAATCCAGAGGCTGCCCCCCGAGGTTGCCAACTTCATGCAGCTGGTGGAGCTGGACATCTCCCGTAATGGTAGGTCCAAGCTGGCTGGCTCTGCTGCCCCATGGGCCTCCCTCCGTGTGGTCCCACCTCCCTGTGCTGTGGAAGAGGAGGTGTCTGTCCACAGCCCTGCACAGTGAGCTTTGCTGGGTCCTGAGTGGTTAAAGTCAGGTTGTCTGACTGTCTCTCAGGCTGTCCCCACTGCTTGGCCACCCTTTCTGGCCTCTTCTCAAACCTCTTTCTTTTTTTTTGTTTGTTTGTTTGTTGTATTTTTCCAGACATTCCAGAAATTCCTGAAAGCATCAAATTCTGCAAGTCCCTGGAAATCGCTGACTTCAGCGGGAACCCTCTCTCCAGGTAGGAAGGCCTGTGCAACCCTTTTCTCCAGCTGAAGTTCCTCATCCTCCTGAGCTTTCTCTGCTCTTCATCTGGTAGTTGTCTGGGGCCACCCAGCCCTTGCCAAGACCTGCAGGTGCTCTCCTGGCAGCTGGAACACTCAGCATAGGGAGGAGCTGGTTTCTGCTGCCTCTTCTTGGATGGACGAGCCTTTAGTTACACTGGTGGGAATGGTGAGGACTTCTGTCCTCTTGGGATGAGCTTGTCTCTCCCTGGTGCACAAACCAGAATGGAGGTGGCCTTGTTGTACTACAGAGGAGCAGAGCACGGCCTGCCTGCTGTCCTGTGCTCTGTCAGTCCTGCTGTGCTCTCTGTCTTCTGTCTAACTTAGGGTTACCATCCCTTGACCTCCTTCCTTGCTTGGTTGCCCTGACCCCTCAGTGCTCAGAGCTGTGTCCAAGGACAGGGGTCCCTGCCTTGTCTCTTCTGGCTCTGCAGCTCTTAATCCATGTTTTGGGCATGGGAGGGTGGCTCCTCTGCCTTGGTGACCCACACACTCTGGCACTGGAGTCTTGGTGCCTTGTCTGCCAGGGCTCTGGGGGTGCCAGGGCTCTGGGGGTGCCAGGGCTCTGGGGGTGCCAGCCTGACTCCTGGTACCTGCTGCCTTTCCTGCTGCTGGGCCCTCCAAGCTGGAAGTCTCTGCTTCCCTCTGGTGGAGCCAGACTCTGCCAGGGTAGAATCATAGAACCATAGAATCATTCTTGTTGGAAGGGGCCTTGAAGATGACATCAAGTCCAACCATAACCTAAGTCCCCTGACCATGACCTGATTTACCCATTCAGTGCTGAAATCATGTCCCTCAGCACCACATCTACATTTCTCCTGAACACCTCCAGGGATGGTGACTCCACCACCTCCCTGGGCAGCCTGTTCCACTGCCCATCTGATGGGACAGGCCATTCAGTTGGAGGGAATCCCTCCACCCCAGGAGGGACCAGCACTTCTGCACCAGAAGTTATTTCTCAGGGTCTTTTTGTGGCCCAGAGCTGTGAGATGTGTGTGCTGAGCAGTGGGGCTGGGGAGCTCCAGGAGCTGCCTGTGAACACCAAAGGATTTCTCCTCTTCATGGGGCTTTCCCTCTTCTGTTGCACCTTGGAGCTGTTGTGATGGTGCTGTTGGGTCCCAGGAAATGCTGCAGTGTCACAGAATCCCAGACTGGGTTGGGTTGGAGGGACCTCAAAGCCCACCCAGTGCCCCCCTGCATGGGCAGGGACACCTCCCAGCAGCCCAGGCTGCTCCAAGCCCCATCCAACCTGCCCTTCAACACCCCCAGGGATGGGGCAGCCACAGCTTCCCTAGGCAACCTGTGTCCTCTGCAGAAGTATCCTCAGATGGGTGTCTGGATTACTTGGTGGCCCTTCCTGCCTCCAAGTGTAAGTGATCACGTGGCACAAGTGAGTCTGGGGTTTGTGCTGGAGAACCACAGAGCCACGTCAGGACACTTGGACATGGCCTTGGTGCAAGGAGCAAGGAGCATTGCCTTGCAGACAGGACACGTCCTGGAGCAGGAGCCAGGGTGGGACTCAGTTCCTCAGCTCCTCCTTTCCACAGATTGATACTGACTGGGGCAAGACTGGATTTTTGGGGATTTAAGTGAGGACTTTAGGGCTTGTTTTGTGCACAGAATGGATGTTGGTGTGTTCTGCCCACAGGCTCCCAGAGGGCTTCACGCAGCTCCGCAGCCTGGGCCACTTGGCCTTGAATGATGTGTCCCTGCAGAGCCTCCCCAACGACATTGGGAAGTGAGTATGGCCCAGTTCCTCATGGGGAGGGGGCAGGGGTGGGGACATAGCAGGGTGTGGAGGGGGGCAGCATCACACCCCACTTACAGCTTGCCCTGTGCTGCCTGAGCACCTCTGGGCATGGTTCTTGTGAGAAGACAACCTTTTAGCAAGGTCCTTTTCCTGGTCTTGGCTGCTTCTCCTCCATGGCCAGTGGCACAGGCAAGAGGTGCATCCAGGCTTCCCCAGTCCTCTGCCTTCCTGTAATTCCCATTTGTCCCTTTCCAGACCAGTGGGGTCTGCTGAAGTGGTTTGTCCTGCTGGCAGGTGGCCAAGGCAAAGCCCATGAGTGTCCTTCCCATGGGATTGGGCTTTCTGCACCTGAGGGTTCTGTGTCTTTGGGGCAGACAGGCCTGAGTGTGACCCCAGCTGCCCTTGCCCTGGGCACAGGGTTTGTTTCCCCATGACTCTGCAACAAGCAGCCACCTTCCCCACAAGTCATTGAAGATCTTCTTTGTTTTTAGTCTTTCCCTGTCCCCTCCATCCCTGTGTGCAGGCCACGAGGGGTGGTCCCAAGGGAGGGGACACAAACATCTTGTACCCCTGGAGCCCTGTCCAGTGACCCTGGCTTTCCCCTCCCTTTTCTCTTGCAGTTTGGCAAACCTGGTGACTTTGGAGCTACGTGAGAACCTGCTGAAGACTCTCCCCACGTGAGTGTCTGCCTGGTGGCTTCAGGAGTCTCCTGCCTGCTGGGTTCTGCTGGTTCCTCAGGGACTTGCTGCTTCTGTAGTGCAGACTTGGGTGGGCTCAAGGCTTTGCATAAGAGGGGAGATGCAGGTTGGACTTGAGGGGGAAATTCTGGGCTGTGAGGGTGGGGAGCCCCTGGCCCAGGTTGCCCAGGGAAGCTGTGGCTGCCCCATCCCTGGGGGTGTTGAAGGGCAGGTTGGATGGGGCTTGGAGCAGCCTGGGCTGCTGGGAGGTGTCCCTGCCCGTGCAGGGGGGCACTGGGTGGGCTTTGAGGTCCCTCCAACCCAACCCATTCCATGATCCTATCATCTTGCTGGGTGAGGTGGGACAGGGATGGTGCAGGGCTTGAAAGCAGGGAAGGATGCTCAGAGTTTGTGCTCAGCTTCTGTGTCAGGATTGATTTGGAATAGACAGAGCTCCACAGTGAAGCTGCTGGAAATGAGGAGAACATTTTTCTTGGAGAGGTGGAGCAGGTGATGGAATCTTTTGGGGGAAAAAAAAAAAAGAGAAAAATGTCCTGATGTGGGTACAGGGAGAAGTTTGTACCCAGGGAAGTTCATCATCTGAGGAGCAGCAGAATGCAGCTCGAGATGTTCATGGCTTCTGACATCTCTGTTTTCTTGAGTTTCCCTTCTGGTTGTGGTGGAGCAGCCTGTGGGATTGGATGGGACAAGGGGCTTTTCCACAGCAGTCAAAATAAGGCAGGGAGGGAGAAGAGGGAAGTCTTGTTGAGTGGTGCAGAGAGTCAGGGCCAGAGGTAAGTTCCTGGAGGAGCTGGTTGGTACAGCTGCTGCTGTCAGGTGGCTGGGGTGTGGAGGACCAACGAGTCTATACATTGAGCTCTGATTTGGAGCCCAGGAGTGTTGTTTGTTGAGGTTTCTCACCTGCCTGGTCTCTGCCAGCTTGTTTTCTGCCTGCTTACCCCTCCAAGTGATGAGTCCCTCAGTCTTCCTTGAGTTGGAAGGGATCCTACCTGACTTCTGTGTGAGTAGCAGTGTCTTTTGGGGCCACACAAGCTCCTCAGTGAAGGTGTGAAGCGTGCAGCTCTTCTTCCCTTCCCTCAGCAGCCTCTTAGTGCTCATGGCAAGTGCTGGTCTGGCTGCCTGTGCTTCCCCCCTTGCTCCTCTGCTTGGTTTAAAGAAGAGAGCAAAGGAGGCACCTGCTGATCCAGTGGCCAAGCAAGGCTTTGGGACTCCAAGCAGTCAGGGTCTTGCTTCTTATGTGCTGGCCACGGCTCCCTCACTGCCAGATGTTGCTTTGACTCAGGAGCTCTTCCCAGTGGGTGTTTTCCTCTGGGACCTGCAGGTACAGGCTTCGTGTGACAGCAGTTGTGTCTGCTTATAGAATCCATGTGTCAGCTCTGGCACAGAGGACAAGGCACTTCCAAAGAGGACCTGGAAGAGTCTGCACTGCTCAGCTTCCTGGCTGGGGATGGCAGGAGCTCAGATTGTCACTGTCATCTCTGGTGCCAAAGGCACTGGAGCTTTTCAGCACAGACATGGGCAGCATTAACACCCTGCCATGGAAAGGTGGCTTTAAAAGACCAGCTGTGATGGCCCCACATGGGATGTGGCCACGAGGGAGAACATGAGAGCCAAAGCTCCTCCTGCCAGGCTGGGAACAGGCAGGAGGTGTTTGGGTCCAGGTGCTGGGCCCACTGCTCTCTGCTCCATGTGTTCTCTGTGTTCACACAGACAGGTGCCCCCACTGTGACACACCACGTACATGAAGAGGTGCAGCCAAAGTTGGGCTTTCACACTGCAGAGAAGAGTGGTCCCAATGGCTTTTCATCACCTGGGAACCAGCAAGTATCTGGAGTGTGAGAATTGAGTCTGTCCCCAAAGCCCTGTGGTTTCTGGGGAGCTCTGTCTTGCCCAGTGCTCCATCATTTCCCTCTGTTGGATCTGTCTGCCATCCAGCAAGATACTTGGAGCATGCTCTCAGTGTGGGGGGTCTCACTGGAGGAGAAGTCCAGGCTTGATACTCCTTCTGCAGAGCAATTCCAGCTTCCCTTCATTTTTCCCCAGTGTCTACTTGTGTATGACTTCCAAAAGTAGAAGGAGGGTCTTGAAAGGCAAGACAATTTGCATCAGATCTGTCTGTCAAATATGAGCTTGAAATCAACAGCCAAAGACATTTCAGAGGTGCTGTCAGGTACCCTGCCCAGGTCTGGAGCTCCAGTTGGAAAACTGGCCAAACTGGACATCCATAAATCTGTGGGCCCTGATGGGATGCACCTATGAGTGCTGAGAGCTGGGTCACTCTCCATCATCTCTGGAAGGTCATGGAGAGCAGGAGAGGTGCCTGAGGGCTGGAGAAGGCCAGTGTCACTCCAGCCTTCAAAAGGGCAACCACAGGCAGGTCAGTCTCCCCTCTGTCCCTGGGAAGGGGCAGGAGTGACTCCTTCTGGATGTCATCTCTAAGTATGTTGAAGAACAGGAAGTTATTGGGAGTGGTCAGTATGGGTTTACCAAGGCTAGATCATGCTTGACCAATCCACCAGCCTTCTGTGGTGACACAGCTGGATGAAGGAGACCAGCAGATGTCACCTACCTTGAGTGCAGCCAGGCCTCTGTGTCCCACACCATCCTCCTTGGGAAACTGAGGCAGGAGGGGCTGGATGGGTGGGCAGGGAGGTGGATGGAGCTGGTGTGGGACAGAGCTCAGAGGGCTGTGATCAAGGGAGCAGGGTCGAGGTGGGGCCTGTACCCAGGGGTGTCCCCAGGGGTCAGGGCCCCACATGGGATGTGGCCACGAGGGAGAACATGAGAGCCAAAGCTCCTCCTGCCAGGCTGGGAACAGGCAGGAGGTGTTTGGGTCCAGGTGCTGGGCCCACTGCTCTCTGCTCCATGTGTTCTCTGTGTTCACACAGACAGGTGCCCCCACTGTGACACACCACGTACATGAAGAGGTGCAGCCAAAGTTGGGCTTTCACACTGCAGAGAAGAGTGGTCCCAATGGCTTTTCATCACCTGGGAACCAGCAAGTATCTGGAGTGTGAGAATTGAGTCTGTCCCCAAAGCCCTGTGGTTTCTGGGGAGCTCTGTCTTGCCCAGTGCTCCATCATTTCCCTCTGTTGGATCTGTCTGCCATCCAGCAAGATACTTGGAGCATGCTCTCAGTGTGGGGGGTCTCACTGGAGGAGAAGTCCAGGCTTGATACTCCTTCTGCAGAGCAATTCCAGCTTCCCTTCATTTTTCCCCAGTGTCTACTTGTGTATGACTTCCAAAAGTAGAAGGAGGGTCTTGAAAGGCAAGACAATTTGCATCAGATCTGTCTGTCAAATATGAGCTTGAAATCAACAGCCAAAGACATTTCAGAGGTGCTGTCAGGTACCCTGCCCAGGTCTGGAGCTCCAGTTGGAAAACTGGCCAAACTGGACATCCATAAATCTGTGGGCCCTGATGGGATGCACCTATGAGTGCTGAGAGCTGGGTCACTCTCCATCATCTCTGGAAGGTCATGGAGAGCAGGAGAGGTGCCTGAGGGCTGGAGAAGGCCAGTGTCACTCCAGCCTTCAAAAGGGCAACCACAGGCAGGTCAGTCTCCCCTCTGTCCCTGGGAAGGGGCAGGAGTGACTCCTTCTGGATGTCATCTCTAAGTATGTTGAAGAACAGGAAGTTATTGGGAGTGGTCAGTATGGGTTTACCAAGGCTAGATCATGCTTGACCAATCCACCAGCCTTCTGTGGTGACACAGCTGGATGAAGGAGACCAGCAGATGTCACCTACCTTGAGTGCAGCCAGGCCTCTGTGTCCCACACCATCCTCCTTGGGAAACTGAGGCAGGAGGGGCTGGATGGGTGGGCAGGGAGGTGGATGGAGCTGGTGTGGGACAGAGCTCAGAGGGCTGTGATCAAGGGAGCAGGGTCGAGGTGGGGCCTGTACCCAGGGGTGTCCCCAGGGGTCAGGGCTTGGTCTGGTCTTGTTCGACATCTTCATCAACATCTTCATGACCTGGAGGAGGGGACAGAGTGTGACCCGAGCAGGGCTGCAGGTGACCCCAAACTAGGGGGTGGTGACACCCCAGGGGGCTGAGCTGGGCAGGCTGGGGAGCTGGGAGAGAGGAACCTGCTGAGGTTCCAGCAGGGCACGGGCAGGTCCTGCAGCTGGGGAGGAACAAGCCCTGGAGCAGCACAGGGTGGGGGCACCTGCTGGGGAGCAGCTCTGGGCAGCAGGACCTGGGGTCCTGGGAGATGGTCAGTGATCCATGAGCCAGCAACGTGCCCTGGTGGGATCCCAGTGGGATCCTGGGCTGCATGAGGAAGAGTGTGGGCAGCAGGTCAGGGAGGTTGTGCTGCCCCTCTGCTCTGCCCTGGTCAGGCCACATCTGGAGAGCTGGGACCAGTTCTGGGCTCCCCAGTTCAGGAGAGACAGGGAACTGCTGGAGAGAGTCCAGGGAGGGCAAGAAAGATGCCAGGGGGGTTGGAGCATCTCCCTGCTGAGGAAAGGCTGAGGGAGCTGGGGCTGCTCAGCCTGGAGAGGAGAAGGTTGAGGGGAGCCCTTGTTGATGCCTGTGAGTACCTGAGGGTGGGTGCAGGAGGATGGAGCCAGACTCTGCTCAGCAGTGCCCAGGGCAGGACGAGGGGCAACGGGCACACCTGGAGCCTGGGAAGTGCCCCTGAAAGGGGAGGAGAAACTTGTGTGTGGTGAGGGTGGCAGAGCCCTGGGCCAGGCTGCCCAGGGAGGTGTGGAGTCCCCTCCTCTGGAGACATCCCAGCCCTGGGTGCAGCCCTGGGGAATGTGCTGCATTGATCCTGCTGGAGCAGGGTTGGGCTGGGGGGTCTCTGGAGCCCCTGGCAACTCCAGTGATTCTGTGGAATCTAAAGAGTGATCTTCCCAAAGAGCAGAATGCCATGGAAGGGGATGGTGTTTCCAGTTTTCCAGGTCACTGAGCCTGGGAGGTCAATGGGCTTCAACCCTGTGGATGAGTGAGGTGTGGGTGTCCTTTGGAGTTTAGTTGTTGAGCTGCTTAGAAGGTCCAGCTTGCCAGGACCTTGACTTCTCAACATGTGATTTCATTGGTTTGTCTTCTGCTGTCGACTGAGTTCTGGACCAGTTTGTGTGGTGGAGGAGATCATCACTCCTCCCAGGGGCTCCTTGAAGGATTCTTGTGGAATACACCATGGATCTGATCCCATGTTCTAGTATGGAAAGGGTGGGAACAGGGATGGAGACCCCCTTTTCACAAGGGGTCACATGGAAAAGACAAAGGGTGATGGGTACAAGTTAGTCCAGAGGAGGTTCTGGTTTGAACTCAAGAGGAAAATATTTTGAAAGAAGAACTTGCCAATGGGATGATCTCCCAGGGAAGTGGTGGGTTCCCCAGCATTGGACACTCCTCAGATTCAGCTGGGCAGGGCCTGGACCATCTTTTTGCCATCATGCTTTTGCCAGGAGAGGTTGGAGGAGATGATCCCTTCCAGCCTGGGCTTCTGTGACCCTCTGGCTGGTGCAGGGTGATCTGTTCTGAGGCACTTGGCAAGACCTTGTGTGTCAGCCTGGATTCCACAGCTCGCTTGTCCCTGGTTTGGGAATTCCACCTGTGAAGGTGTGAAGGGACAGCCAAGGCTCCTTCACCCTCCAGAGAAGCAAAGAGCAAATGAACAGTCACCATGGGAGACTGTTGTGCAACAGAATCCTTCTGATGACCCTGTGGATAAACCCTTCCTTGAGTTAATGTCATATCTCAAAATCCACCACCACATGAGGTGAGAATGTGCTTCTCCTGGGCAGGACAAGTGTTTGTCCAGCCTGCCCTGAGCAAGACAGACAGACAGACAGGTCCTTCCTAGTGCTTCCTGACAGAGCTGCAGCCCCAGCTGCCTGACTCTGGGTGGTGTTGAGGTGCAGAGCTCCATTTCCAGAGAAAGAGGGTGATTTCTGTCCTGGGACAGCTCCTGATGGGAGGAATGAAAAGGTCCTGGGCTGTGTCCCCAGCAGTGTGACCAGCAGGGCCAGGGGGGATTGTCCCCTCTGCTGAGCCCCCCTGCAGGGCTGGGGCCAGGCTGGGGTCCCCAGCACAGGAAGGACACGGAGCTGTTGGAGAGGCCAGAGGAGGCCCCGGAGATGCTGGGAGGGCTGGAGCAGCTCTGGAGCCAGGCTGGGAGAGTTGGGGTGTTGAGCCTGGAGAAGAGAAGGCTCCAGGGAGACCTGAGAGCAGCTTCCAGGGCCTGAAGGGGCTCCAGGAAAGCTGGGGAGGGGCTTGGGACAAGGGCAGGGAGGGATGGGAGCAGGGGGAAGGGTTTCCAGCTGGCAGAGGGAGCTGGAGCTGAGATGGGAGGGAGAAATTCCGGGCTGTGAGGGTGGGGAGAGCCTGGCCCAGGTTGCCCAGGGAAGCTGTGGCTGCCCCATCCCTGGGGGGGTTGAAGGGCAGGTTGGATGGGGCTTGGAGCAGCCTGGGCTGCTGGGAGGTGTCCCTGCCATGCAGGGGTGGGACTGGGTGGGCTTTAAGGTCTCTCCAATCCAAACCATTCCATGATCCTCTGAACTGCAGACTGTACCAGGGAAGTGGGCAGGGCTGAGGTGTCAGTTCTGCCCTGGTGTAAAACAGGAAACAACCACCCCTGCTTGGGGAAGGGGAGTTGATGGTGCAGGACTGAGAGCTGAGGACTCAGAACACCTGTGCAGTGTCAGAAGAACTTGATCCTGGTTCTGTGGGGCTGCAGAGTCCAGCCTTGTCTGGTGAGGTGTCTGGGTGCTCAGGGCAGGTCCTTGGGCCACCCCTGCTGGCAGGCTCGGGTCCCCTGCAGGCTCCTCACAGTATCTTGCCTCATGAGCTTCTTGTCTTGTACGTCCTGACCTCTCTGAGCCATCGTGCCACTGTTGTCCCTCCCTTTCTCTCAAGCAGCATGAGCCTCCCCTCTGGGGAAACTGAGGCTGTTGAATTTGTCCTTCCTGCCTCTCCCTGCAGCTGCTCTCCCCTTGCCATCCGTGTTGTCCTCTGCTGGCTGCTGTCCTCCATCCTGGCTGCAGAACCGGGCAGCAGTGGCCAGGGGGGGCTTCTCCCTTGTCACGTTTTTGCTCCAAGAATTTCTTAGTGTGGGAGGGGGAGAAGGCAAGTGGGTGCCAGGGGGAAGGGGCCACTGTGGGGCTGCTGAGCCCAACTCCCTGCTGGGGCCTGGCTGGGGAAGGGCACCGAGTCCCTGATCTGCTCAGCTCAGAGGGACTGTGGGAGAGGCCAGGATTGCCCCACTTGGTTTAGGAGCCAGTTCTGCAGTTTGTGAGGTGTGTGTCCCAGATGCTAACCCTCTGTTCCCTCTTT